GCCTGTCTGATTTTGCTTGGAAGGGCGTTCCAGAGATAGGGGGCCACCACTGAGAAGGCCCTCTCTCTCATCCCCACCAACCAATGGGGCCTGTCTTATTTCCCTTGGAAGGCCGTTCAGAGATGGCCCTCTGAGAAGGCCCTCTCATCCCCACTAACCGTCCCCACTGGCCTTGAGACGGTAGTGGGACTGAGAGGAGGGCCTCCCCAAAAGATAGTTATATATATTTTTACATTGCGGTCATTGCTCTTTAGTTTTTTACCCAGGTTGGGTCCCAGATGTTATCGAACGACAACTCCCATCACTTTAGATTATCTACCAAGGAGTTTGAACTGGAAGACATTGCTTATATAGTTTTAATTGGTTTGATATGGATCTTTATTATGTGATATTACATGTTTTTAATTGATAAGTATGCATGTATGTTGTGGCATCAAATTGTTGCCAATCTGTATGCCGCCCTAAATAGCCTTTGGCTGAAAAGAGCGGGATAAAAACTCTGTAAATAAATAAATAAATAAATACCATACAGACTGAGGATAATGGGAATTGAAGCCCGATAGCGATTGAGGCTCTGAGGTTGGGGAAAGTTTAAAAGACACTTTCAAGTCAGACGTCATATACACAAGCCTTGAAGCTAAATCCAAACCCAACTATCCTTACTAAAAATAACAAACTGTAACCTTCCAGAGGTTACTGTATCACAACTCCCATTATCTCTAGTCATTATTATCTCTAATGATGAGGAATACAGGAGTTGTAGTCCAGCGTCTGGTGGGTCACATGAAATGACATAGCAGGCCGAATTCGGCCTGCGGGCCTTGAGTTTGACACATGTGCCCTAATGGAACTACCACCGATCAGGATGTCACTACCAATTTAAATCCCACTGAATTAATGAGTCCTGCTAAATTTAACTAAATCTACATATAGTCCAGCCTCGTTACCTGGGCAATAAGGATGCATTGCCTCCCTGACACTCCAAAAAAATTCCTGAACATTTTAATGTCTTCTCAAGAGCCAAAATAAACACCACTGAACAAAAGAATTATACATTCAGGAAAACCTTAACATGCTTTCAGAGATCTCAGAGGAAACCTAAAAATAGTGTTGTAACTGTTCTCCTTGCTCTCCGTTGTTTTGGGACATTGAGAACTCCTACACATAGCAACAAGATGGTGTAGCGGGTAAACTTGTGACCCTTAAAAACTTCTTTTGGGATTTTAAGGATGGTCTTTGCTTCCACTCATGTAACCAATTACTGCATTCGTATGGGGGAGGATATTCAATCAGTGTTCAATTAGAAACCTTTGTGTCTTCTGAAATTAGGGTCTTGTTCTTCTTGTCGGTGAATCATGCTGTTGCCCGTAACGTTGACATGATGCTCACCAAAGCCATCACGATTCCATTCTGCAGCAATGGAAAGCAACAGAGATACAGTGAAGGTGGACACTTCCATCAGCTTTGGACTGGCTCCATTTCCTATTTTCCCCTTATTTCTACTTTCAAACTAGTTTGATCTCAATTAGTCATCATTTGGCAATTTTTGGAAAAATAGATGCAAATTAATATGCCTTTTCCATGACACTTCTTATACAATGTACATACGGATGCACGTTTTTCCCACATGCCTATATGGTTGCATACACATATATTTCGCTCCTCCTGTGATGCATTTCTGTACGTTGTTGTCACTAATATCACTCCAAACAATGAAATGGGGCTGAATGACACTCTGGGAGGTTTGTTATTCGGGGAGGTTCAGGAGAGAAAAGGTCTGTCCCTGACGTTAACTAGCCCATTGTTAATATCCCAGAAGGTACATTGGGTCCAAGCATCAATCTAGTTTCCTGAAACGTGGACTAAAGCATTGACTTTGAATTAATTTTGAAATTAAAAATACAGTGGGTTCGAACTAGATTTAGTCGTATCTTATTCAGTTCTAAAGAAACCAACAATTTGTCATGGCTAACCATTGGTGCCATTGATATCTACCCTCATTCCCCCAAAATAAGACAGTGTCTTATATTAATTTTTGCTCCCATAGATACATTAGGTCTTATTTTCAGGGGATGTCTTATTATTCCATGGAGAAGATTCACATTTATTGTTGAATTATTCTCTGTGGTGCCCCCCCCCCCCCGGCTCTGGAAACTCACTCCCCAGAGATTAGACAAGTCCCCACCCTGGCAGTCTTCAAGAAGAGCTTGAAAACTTGTCTGTTTCAGTGTGCCTTCAAAGAATGAATGAACAATAATCCCCTGACCTGACCAAGTCCTGCTAAATGCCCTCACAAACACTTTATTTTACCTGTTAGTACAATCAAATCCTACTTATCCCCCGGATCTCCTGTCCAGATACATTAAATGATTGTCTTATCCAGTGTTTTAATTTTTAATTGCTGTGTTTTGTTGTATATTGATGTATTGCATTGTTGGGCTTGGCCTCATGTAAGCTGCCCCGAGTCCCCTTGGGGAGATGGTGCCAGGGTATAAATAAACTATTATTATTATTATTATTGAACATAAAAAGAATATTTATTATATACTGTACAGTAGTTGTCATCACAAACCAGAAAAGCAGACACCCCCTAAAGAATCAAAGTGACACACTGGTTGCCTGACTCGCACACAGGGCCACAAAAAATAAAGGCTGTAAAGTACCTGGCTCCCACACACTGTCTGGAGACTGTAACGCTCTCCCACAGCAGGGACAGTATTGCAGCTTCTGGCCAACAAGGGGAGCTCAAAAACTTTGCTAGGTCTTACTTTCGGAGGACGTCTTATATTTAGCAATTCAGCAAAACCTCTTCTAAGTCTTATTATCAGGGAATGTCTTATTTGCGGGAAAACAGTATAGAACTAGGGGCTGCAGTGGTTCAACAGTTAAACTGTCGAGCTGCTGAACTTGCTGACTAGAAGGTTGGCAGTTCAAGTCTGCAGGATGGGGTGAGCTCCCACTGGTAGCCCCAGCTCCTGCCAACCTAGCAGTTTGAAAACATGCAAATGTGAGTAAATCAATAGGTACTGCCTCGGCGGGGAGGTAATCAGCACTCCAAGCAGTCATGCTGGCCACATGATCTAGGAGGTGACTACGGACAATGCAGGCTCTTCGGCTTAGATATGGAAATAAGCACCACACCCAGAGCCGGAGATGAGCACCACCCCCTAGAGTCGGAGATAAAGAGGAAGCCTTTACCTTTATCTATGTATCTGTGTTTCATTATTTTGAGGCATTGAATGTTTTGCCTTGTGTCTGTATATGCTGGAATCTGCCCTAAGTCCCCTCGGGCGATAGAGCGGCATACAAATAAAGTGTTGTTACTATTCTAATTCTGATTAATAGTGCATATATACTATAGGAAAAAAATTTTTGCTCGTGTCAGAAGCAAGTTGAGAAACTGCACGTCGCTTCTGGTGTGAGAGAATTGGTCGTCTGCAAAGACATTGCCCAGGGGACGCCTGGATGGTTTGATGTTTTTATCATCCTTGTGGGGGGCTTCTCTCATGTCCCCGCATGAGGAGCTGGAGCTGATAGAGGGAGCTCATCCTCCTCTCCCCGGATTTGAACCAGCGACCTGTCAGTCTTCAGTCCTGCTGGCACAGGGGTTTAACCCACTGCGCCACCGGGGGCTCACTATAGAAATAATGCAGCTTGACACCGTTTCAACTTGTCGCAGTTTTATGCTGGGATGGGAGTTGTAATTTTGCAAAGTCTTAATTCTTCTCTGCCCAGGAGTTCTGATGGCTCACCAAACTACAATTATTATGATTCCATAGCATTGAACCATGACAGTTAAAGTCAGGAGTCATCAAACTGAGGCTTGACAGAACCATGACAGTTAAAGTCAGGAGTCATCAAACTCAGCCAAAAGCAGGCCCACATTTCCCATTGAAATAAGAATAAGTTTATATTTGTTAAAATTGTTCTTCATTTTAATTATTGTATTGTTTTAAAGTGTTTTTTGCACTACAAATAAGATATGTGCAGTGTGCATAGGAATTCATTCGTGTTTTTTTTTCAAATTATGATCCAACCCTCCAACAGTTTGAGGAACTGTGACCTGGCCCTCTTGTTTAAAAAGTTTGAGGACCCCTGGTTAAAGTGGTGCCAAACTGCATTGATTCTACGGTGTAGGTGCACACTAAGTGTAGATTCAGTACATTGAGTTGTAAGTTTTTTGGGCTGTATGGCCATGTTCCAGAAGCATTCTCTCCTGACGTTTCACCTGCATCTATGGCAGGCATTCTCAGAGGTTGTGGTCAGACCTCACAACCTCTTGAGGATGCCTGGTATAGATGCAGGTGAAATGTCAGGAGAGAATGCTTCTGGAACATGACCATACAGCCTGAAAAACTTGCAACAACCTAGTGATTCCAGCTATGAAAGCCTTTGACAATACATAGATTCAGTAACTTGTTTTGTAATACAAATACTTTGGGAGGTGATATTGCCATACGTTGTTTTTCTCCCTCTATTCATACCTAGGAGCAAATGCCACTTGTAGGGTTTTGCTTGTTGCTGTGATATATTGTGAGCATTATTTAGAAAATGGAGTATGAGTCATTTTTCTTCTTCCAGAATTATCATTTTATTCATTTGCAAATGCATGCCGATTTAATTAATGGATTAATCAAATCAAATGTATACAGTTTATTTTCAACAATATATTTAATTAGGTTAGAGCCCTGCTTGGAACCCCACATGTTTCAGAAGCCGATTCTAGTGTCGGGGTGCAAGGGAGCAGCTGTTGGGAAGGAATTGGAAGGTTAAGAGAAGAAAGAACCCAAGCTAGGCATATAACAAAACCCAATGCACACTCACAAAAGATTTCCTTGGATCAAAGCCAGTACCTTAATTTTACAAATGATGCTAATTGCGTTCTTAGTTTTTTCATACTTCAAGTCACATTCCCCACTCCTAGGTCTGCTGGGAAATCTTTGGAAAAGTGTTCTACTTTTGAACTGTTGGTTGTTATTTTCTTTTCTTTTTCTCCCCAGAGAGCTTTGGGTGAAGGTTACCACCTTAAAAATAAAAGAAACTCCCCCTGTGTCTACACTCCTCCTTCTCTTAAAGGTAAGATATATTTCAAATTGGTTTCCAGTGTTTAGATAGTAATGCAGAAAGGCAGGCAGATGTATCCGCATCACAATATTTGCTGTGCTTTGCTTTTTAGATGATAGTTCAAGAATCTCTATTCAGCATAGCCATTGACCAGGCTGACTACATAATTTTGGCATTTGTCATTCAGAAAAGTGATTTTTCCCAAACTTTTGCTAATAGCAATGGCTCAGTTTACACACTAATTTTTTATAATAATTCCTTTTATAGATTAGCCTGCAATGTAAAGATGGTGTCAACTTAATAGTTGGCTTTTGTTAGACTTTCTAGTAACATACAATAGATTTTTAAAATCATTATTGTAAAATTGTTAGAAGGAGACAACCAGCCTGACCTGAAGGTTAGCAGTTCAAATCCGTGGGA